GTTGGAGCGATAAATGGATTTAATATAGTTGACAATGTCTTATTTTCATTTACATGCATCAACCATTGTTGATGCAGCCCATTGGGTAATTTTCCCGCCAGATCTCTAATTAATCTTTGATCATTTAGATATTCCTTATGATCAAGACACGTCATATTAATTACCAAATTCCCAATTGCAGAGATGAAATCCACCATTGTTTTTGGGGTTTCAAAACGAGGATTTCTAGTTGCAAGAACCTCTTGCAATAATCCAGAATAAACCAATTCTACACTTCCAAATTGGTCCTCTAATTTTCGTATTATCAAATCCACATTATCGGAGTCGAGAAGAAGTGCGCTAACCGCGCGCAATGCATCTCCTTTTAGACTTTTCTGTATACGGTGTAAATTTTCAAGGTCCGAAAAATTTCCCCGCTGTGTGGTTTCGAGGTATGTTTTTTTAAATCTTGGCCAAGCTTTGAAGTTTCCATCAAAATATGGCAACTCCAGTAATGACTGTCTTAAAATGTATTTTTCCGTTGTGTTTTGTCCGCTAGCATTGATACCATTAATTTTTTTAATGATCGCTTCGAAAGCTTCTACTTGGCTATCTGCATTAGTCTTGTATTCTTTCCTGTTTTGAAGAGTTTGTATTTGCTCTTCCTGTGTAGCCAAATGGACTCTAATCTTAGTATATTTTGTACATGTCCAAGGCTCTTTTTTCTTCGGTATGTGATCTAATCCTACACAGGTCAGGTGGAACCAGCGATCGCAATCGTCGCAGGCCACCATGTTATCACTGTCGTCTTTCTCAAAACAAAGACGACAGTGTCCGTTTTTATTAACAACAAATTTTTCACTCATCTTGTTTTTTTTTTTTTTAATTTATAAATTTCTACCTGATAATATAATAGCGTCAACTCTGATTTTACTCACACTTTAATTTGAACTTTGTTGATATTAATGGCCTAGCAGCTCGCCATTGGTCTGCTCCTTGCCACTGGACGTCCTTCTAGGATTTCGGTTGGCCTATAGCTTTTGTGATATTTTCGGCCTTCAGCCGCGGGAGTCCGGATTTGATGAACTTGTAGCCTTGTTGCTTGTGGTCTGCTTCTGGCCTTCAGCCGTGGGAAAGTGCGGCGTTTTATTACTCTGGCTTGAGCTACTTCTTTGTGGCGTGGTGTAAAGTGAATTTGCTAATATGTTGCCGGAACACTTTTTCTTTATCGGTACCGCGCCACAAGGTCACTGGAAACGCCTTGCTTACACAATACACTCCCTTTGGAAAGGGTTCATTTAGCCACTTTTTATATTTCTTTACTTTTTTTAATTTTGCAACCTGAATGTCGATTTCGTTGAAATACTCGACCAATTCATCAATTTCTTTTTGCAAATCGTTCATGTCCACTTCCACCGATGTCCGGATTTTCTGAAACTTTTCAGATCACTTGGCTATAAGCCTACTTGGCTTTGACGAGCCCAAATGTTCGCACTATCTGACCTTTGTCAGATTTGCACTTTGGCTCAACGGCCCACTTAAAACGCCAACTTTGCGGTTCTTTGCAGTCAGATTTCGACTGACTGCTATTTGGCTTAACGCCACACTATTTGGCACAAAGGCCCACTGGAACTGCCAACTTGCGGTTCTTTACAGTCAGATTTCGACTGACTGCTATTTGGCTTAACGCCACACTATTTGGCACAAAGGCCCACTGGAACTGCCAACTTGCGGTTCTTTACAGTCAGATTTCGACTGACTGCTATTTGGCTTAACGCCACACTATTTGGCACAAAGGCCCACTGGAACTGCCAACTTGCGGTTCTTTACAGTCAGATTTCGACTGACTGCTATTTGGCTTAACGCCACACTATTTGGCACAAAGGCCCACTGGAACTGCCAACTTGCGGTTCTTTACAGTCAGATTTCGACTGACTGCTATTTGGCTTAACGCCACACTATTTGGCACAAAGGCCCACTGGAACTGCCAACTTGCGGTTCTTTTACAGTCAGATTTCGACTGACTGCTATTTGGCTTAACGCCACACTTTGTCAGATTGACACTTTGGCTCAACGGCCCACTTAAACCGCCAACTTTGCGGTTCTTTGCAGTCAGATTTCGACTGACTGCTATTTGGCTTAACGCCACACTTTGTCAGATTGACACTTTGGCTCAACGGCCCACTTAAACCGCCAACTTTGCGGTTCTTTGCAGTCAGATTTCGACTGACTGCTATTTGGCTTAACGCCACACTTTGTCAGATTGACACTTTGGCTCAACGGCCCACTTAAACCGCCAACTTTGCGGTTCTTTGCAGTCAGATTTCGACTGACTGCTATTTGGCTTAACGCCACACTTTGTCAGATTGACACTTTGGCTCAACGGCTCACTTAAACCGCCAACTTTGCGGTTCTTTGCAGTCAGATTTCGACTGACTGCTATTTGGCTTAACGCCACACTTTGTCAGATTGACACTTTGGCTCAACGGCCCACTTAAACCGCCAACTTTGCGGTTCTTTGCAGTCAGATTTCGACTGACTGGAAGTTCGCGGGCTCAAAACGTCGGAAAACGTCCTCCAAGATTCCTCTCTGGAGCCACCATGAAATGTCGCCGCCTTTAGCTACTTTCTTCTCCGGTTAGGGAGAGTCTTTCGCTTTCAGGTCAGACACTGTTTCTCGATTCTAGGAGCTACTTTTTTCCCCGGTTAAGGAGAGAAGTTTTCACTTCTAGGCCGAAAGTTCTTTCGGATTCAAAAAAGAGAAGAATCTGGAGTAACCTATGAAACTTAATTTTATTCAACAAAATTGTACAAAGTGATCTTACGGCTACGTGTTGCATTAGCAACTTATAATTATGTAAAACTTTTACATGATTTGTCCAGGGTTTTACATATCCCTTTCAATACCGGACTTTTGACCTAATTTTGCCTATTCTATTAGCTAGGATTTCGATCGCCCTTGAAAGGGTAGATTTGTGTTATTTGGATCTTATATACTATGCCCTCTCAGATCTGGGATTTCTCGGGTTATCTTGTAAGTTTATTTCTTTTTGTAACTCAGATCTGATATGGCTCTACAAATAAGAATGAGACATTTGTAACGTTTAAACATTATAATTATATCCTTCGTTAAGGATAAACAGAGAGGGAAAGCTAAACGTAACCTAGATGCGCAAGCATGCCATGCGTGGGCGTGTTTATCCTACTTGAACGCAGAAACGTTCCTAAGTAAATACTGCAGTTAGATTATGTAAAACGAGCTCTCGCTCCTTTTGCCCTACTTTTCATTTCATATTCTTGGCCTTGGTATCAACGTCAGCTAGGGCTATGCAAACGGGATGCAACTATGTGGTTATCTTATGGTTTTGGTTTTAAATTAATTGCCTCGCGGTAACAATACTAGACCCTCTCTAATCGTAACCAACAGTACAACAATACCCAAGCAAACGACAATCCATCAACTAGTTTTGCCCATGTAGTAGGAAGCAAGAGTTCCGCACTTGGATGCACAAAATTCAATTTCACTGGATCGTATCTGTTTGTTCCAAGCGAAATGAAATTTTTGTCGATTAAATTTTCGCGCTGGTGAGATTTTCACTTCACTTTGATTTCTTTACAGGCCTTTAATCATACAATTTTAATGAGTAAAATACGTTTATGCTATGTTCAGACCACAGAGTTGTATCAACCGATGGAAACTAACGGTTTTAAATTGGCACACTTCTTGACTAGCCTATTAACGTACCCCATTCTAGTCAAAATTAGAGTACTACTCATGATTCGCTATGAAAGTTTGACAGATAAAATGAAGGGTTCGTAGATTTTCTATGATTCGAGAGGTGCATCGATTAGCTTGGGACCGAAGATAGTACCAGAGCTGAGCCAAAAAGTTGAGCATGTTTCTTCGGGACCTACTAGTCTTAAACGCCGGCCAGACTGGTGAGTTATAACATGTTATAACGGTTGTCAAATAATTGCAACACAGAAAGCACCATCAAGATAGCGCTATAACATGTTATAACTCTGTAGTCTGAACGTACTATTATAGTACGTTCAGACTACAGAGCTATAACATGTTATAGCGCTATCTTGATGGTGGTTTCTGTGTTGCAATTATTTGACAACCGTTATAACATGTTATAACTCTCCAGTCTGAACAAGGCATTAGAGTTACCTATATGGTTGTATCATGTTACATGATGACATTTTTCTTGTTGATAATTTGAATAACACCCTTGTAACATGTTACAACTCTTTAGTCTGAACAGGTCTGAACAAGGCATTACTCATAAACTGAGTGACTACAGTTTTTGCCATTAGGAGCTGATTCGACTCAATTTTGAGTCAATCTCAACATCCTCGTAATCCTCATCCTCATCACCTCTAATTTCTTCCAGCAAGTCTACGGCAAGGATCTCACCCTCGAAACGTTAAATCGTGTTGTTGTCTTTTTCCTTATAATCCGAGGAAGACCAAACCAAGACACCAATATGAATCGTGAATCCGTTGATTTATAAGCGTTTGAGTATTTACAACCAAAGCTCAAATCAGTGCTAACATTTGAAAACGGCGCAAAAGCCATTTGTAAACAAATGGTTTGTGGGCCCTTTACTCGCTACCCGAAGAACGCCCACGCAAACCAACAGCATCGTCAGGAAGGGGAAAATTTCCCCTACCCGATGTTGCTGTTGTGTCGCGTGGGTGTACTTCAAGTAGTGAGTAAAGGGCCCACAAACCATTTGTTTACAAATGGCTTTTGTGCCGTTTTCAAATGTTAGCACTGAAATATTACGCCGCGCCTTGCGCAATGTTAAAATTTAATTTTCACATGTACGAACAAAACATTATAAATATCTATACTAGCAGCACTGCACAGTTTTACTGGAAGTAACGGACCTCGATAGCATCCATATTTTTACCGAAGGGCATTCATTCGTATCGGGTTTACTTCGGTTGTTTTCGGCTCCTCCTCCGCGGAGAATAGCTGTCAAAGCGAGTGTGCGGCGATCAGCTGCTCTGTTTACGTTCCATTTTCATTCATTAAAATCCTTCGCAATTGCTGAAACACTCGCTATATACTGATTGCACAATATAAATAAAATTTCGGCCTTCGAATCCGCATAGCCATGGCCAGCAAGAAGGTCGATTTCGATTCACTGGTTCCGGATTCTCCATCGGAGAGGGTAGGTCTCATAGTAGGTAATCGGGTTTGAATCGAAAATAATAATATTTTTTCACTCGTTGGATCCATCAAGGGATTCGTACTCTTCGGAAAGGACCTGAGCCAGATTCCCTGCTTTAGGAACAGCTTCCTGTACGGTATCAGTATAGGCATCGGCGTTGGGTTCCTTGCATTTATGAAAACCTCCCGGCCGCAGCTGTCCTCGCATATAGGATTTGGAACATTTTTCGGTACCACTTTGTGCTATTGGTTCCCTTGCCGGTAAACTCAAAATACGTAATAAATACTGATTTAGAGACCAACTTTTTCTTTTCGGCTAGATACAAGTGGAAGAAAGATTTCAAGGAGGCAGAGGTACTTCAACATATGATGCAGCAGCAGGCAATGTACGAAGGAACCGACAAGGAGCGGGAGCTTGACCGAAAAGCAGAGTCTGCTTAAATTGGTTGTAAATATAATAGTGTGTAGGTTGGCTTATAAATAAAATGTTTGCCAAATTCCATTAGTGTTGTTTTTTTTAATTTTGAATATTTATTAAGTAGTGCTCAAATAAAACACGATAGCGAAACACAAATTATCTAAATCTAGGGTAAAATAAATACTAGAATACGTAATTTTATGTATTGCAGACTATTAGCAAGGATGCACCGTGGGCGGTGTGACTAAATTTCATCATCTATTGGGGCATGGAGAACTCGATTGCTGCAGTCTCCAGGGTCTCCAGTTGCTTCTGGGCTTTAGCTGCCGAAGGACGTGGCTTCTTCTTCCCCGTAGCTTTGGGCTCAGGTTTCGGTGCAAATATCACTTTCAGCTCCTTCGTGCGCCTCCAATAGAAACCGAAGCTGCCCGGTTTGTCGTTACCCAGAACCGCCTGCCGTCGGACGTACTGATTGTACATCTTCTTCGGTGAAAGCTCGGTGGCAGATAGATCAAACGGTCCGCCACTTTCCAGCAGTTCGACACTGAAGTAAGTCATAATGTCGTCGTCCATCGTGTCACGCAGGGTTGTATCCCGGGCAAATTTGCCACGGTTATCACTAATAGCCTTGCTCAATTCAACCTGATGGGCTCGGTAGATTAGATTTCTGAAAAGGAATGTTCTTGAGATTAAGAATATCTTGAGCAAAGTCTTATAGCACTTACCCACTGCCGGCCCCGTATCCAATCGTATTCAGGTAGAATTGACAGCACACCGGCTGGTAGTTTCCCCGGTCGTCCGTCAAGCGATACGAATAGGTGTAACCCTTCCGGACAACGGCTCCGGGCTCAAGCTTCGTTCGTCGCCGTTTGATCGAATGCCGTTCGGTGTGTTCTAGCATGAACATTCGCTGTTCAGGGAAGGTCATACTCCAGTACCGTTCGTTAATGCGTTGCTGTTGTTGGAGCGAAACCTTTTCCTTGCAATTCAGATGGCAGTTGCACTCGAGCTGCAGCACTGGGTGGGACTGTTTCCGCTTGGCACGATTGCGAACTCTGGCAATGAACTTTTTCGTACGCTTCATCGGTGGATAGCCCTCCGGAAGATCTTGTACCTCATTACCCGGTTTGGGAACATCTTGTACCTTGACAGGTTTCTTTTTAGGTGGAAGTGGTTTCCGTTTTGGGGCTTCCGGGTGATATCCATAAGGATTGGTTGGTGGAACTTCCTTCTCAGACTTAACAATGCGCGGGAAGATCTCTGTTGAAGGATTAATCTGGTTGACGACACGTATCGGAGCATTATATGCAGGCTCATGATAGGAGTTCGACTCGGAATAATCCGGTTCAACGACTATATTCGAGTAGGAATCTGAATAATCGTCACGGTCTTCTGAATAGTGCGATTCTGACACAACACTCATTGATTCAACGTTGATGCCATAGTAAGGTTCTTGTTTCACTGTGACCGAATGGAAGGCCGAAGAAGGGTGATAATACGATTTGTCTGCATGATGTGGCACAATTGGTTTCTGTTCGATTGAGTACGAGGACATCAATACCGGCTGATCGTTCTGAATCGGCACTGGAGGGGGAGATTGAAAAGCATGCACTATGGCAGAAGATTGCTCATAGGAGCAAACCGGTTGAGGATCATCCACTTTCATGTCAATCTTGGAATCCTCCATCAAAATCACCTCAACCGGTTGCGGTACGGGCTGAATGGGTTCTGGTGGGGGAGAGCTTGATGGTTTGGGTTGAACAACCGAAATAGGCTTCCTTTCCGGGATCACAAAATCATCCATTTCAACAAAATGAACATCCATTTCACGGAGCACAGCACAGTAGAAGCTAGCACTGCCTCCTTTTTCGCCAATTGCTTCCCGCCTAGCTTTGAACTCGGCATGTATCGATTTAGCCGTCAATTGATTCGGTAAGTACAGGGCAGTGGCATTGAATTTCGATCCCTTGTGGTACGTTCGGGGCGAATACGATAGAATGTCATCCCACACGGCATCCCTAAGCGAACGATCTCGTTCATACTTGCCACGCTTATCAGCCACCGATTCTCTCATGTGAGCGCGATATATATGATTCCTAAAAAAGCAAAACACCCATCAATCAAATAATCCGAAAGCAAACAGCTACATTCTCACTACTTACCCACATCCTTTCCTGAATCCCAGCGTATTCAGAAAAAACGTACAGCAAACCATGTGCAACTGCCCCTGGTCGTCCGGCAAGTAGAACGAATAGGAAAAGGCTTTCTTCACGTCCGACCCTCCCAACGGGTCCACCGGAACCCTCCGTCTTTTAACTGGTCCCGGAACCGTGTGACTCTTGACAAACTTCTTCTGCTCGGCATGATTCATCTGCCAATACGTTTCGTTTAGCGACTGGCGGTGCTCGGTGCTGATCCTCTTCGCACAGGACAAATGACAATTACATTCCACGAGAATGACATGCCGTGCCTGAATTCGTCGCTCCCGGTTCTGTATCCTCTGCTGCTCTCTCTTGGTGACCTCAACACGTTTCTTCCTCCTTAATATTTTCCTTCCCGTCGGATTCGATTCGCTTCCGTCGGAACTCGGTTGCGCTGATTGATCTACTGCTGCTGGTGCCGCCACCTCTTCCTTCCTTTCCTGAACATCCTCGAAGTCTTTCAGGAAATCCAGCGGCTGATCGGACATCCTTCCGGAATGGGCCCGAAAAGTGGACGCTTTTTGTCACTAAATCACGGATTTTCACGAAAACAGTCAAGAAAACTGGACCACTTTTTGTTGATGTTTACGATAACCGATTTACGAAACGTCAGATTTTTACACGCAAAATTGGATTTGGTTGGATTTATTCGGAATATTTCGATGGCACAGATTCGTTTGAACAGATGTGTAACTATGCACTCAAAATAATCGACACGTTATTGTTACGTGGAAAATCACCTGGAGTCTCTCTTTTCGCTTTTATGACAAATTTGTGTGACACATGGAAGTCCTAAAGAGCCTGAATTTATAAAGAGACGACATCTTATCCATTTGACAGGTTTTCTGCTCGATTGGACTGACTTTTCCTATGACTTTGACAGACAATCGATTGTTCCAATTTTGACATGTCGCCTCTTTATAAATTTAGGCTCTTTAGGAAGTCCCTTTAAAGCCACTACACGGATAGAAACCCCCTTATACCTTTCGGAAAATTTCTATTGCTGATTCTACATAAAATGTATAAGTCAACTAATAAGCAGACGGCTTATAAAAAAGATAATGAAGATCATGTGTCAACCAGTCTTGTAAGCGGTCACGGTAGTCGACACATTTTCTGTGATAATCGACTGCCTTTGCCTCCGACACTTGCAAAACAAGCTATCATAGTACAGTACCAAACTCAAATGTCATTTGACAGGCTTTGTCATACGACACTGTCGCCGAAGACCGTCACGAATGTATGTATTTTAGTTTCTCTCATTATAAGAGCTGCTGATGTTGTGCTTGTGTGAATTCTGAAAAAATCAAGCAATGATGTCCTAGGAATAACATTTCTGATCAGAAATGGTTTAATTTACACCAAACTGAGGAATTAGAACAAAATCACTCATATCATATGATAGTTATTTGAACATTTTCTTTTTGCTCGAATGTTATTCTACCGGTTGTGTTGTGTGAGAGAGACGACGGTAGAGCATGAGAGTACGAATAAAAACAGACTGTCGCGCATGACAACGAAGCGAGTGTCGTAAAAAACGTCAACAGTTTCAACCTCTGGTGTCAACTGATAAACCTAATAAAAAAGTATCATAAGCAAACGATAACCCAAAACATAGAACTATTCCACAAACTGTTTGGATGATACCCCGAACACGCCTTTATACCCCGTTCACATTACAGCCTATATCACGTAATATAGGCTGTCTTGCAATGAGCACTCATACATAGGATTTCCAGTGAAAACTAGATGTATGAGTGCTCATTGCAAGACAGCGTATATCACGTGATAACGTGATGAATTTTCTTTTCATCTTTCTCTATGAAATTCCATTAGAATATTCTTATTAATTTCTTTGGCACACTCTTCAGAATGACCGTCACACTATTCTCAGACTCATCCGATAATTCCCTTTGAGCTGCTTTGTAGTTACGGTCATAATTCTTTTTGAAATCCTTTTCAGTATTTGCTAAGTACTCTTTATACTTTGCCAAAATGGCATTGAAAGTCTCCCAGAAATTGCCAGATGTTCTTTTGGCATAATTCCGATTAAATTTCTTAAAATTTTATAAAAATGAAACTCCATAGAAACATGGAACAGAATTCCATTGAAATTATTTTCACGATTCGTATTAGCATACTCCTTAAGTTTCATCATAAGAAATTTCTTTGATTTCTCTTCCGAATTCTATTTCCATTCTTCACAAAATCTCCATGCAATTGTCATCAGAGCTTTTTAAAAGACAACGGACACTGTCTTCAACCAGAGATTGCACAGACTGAAAACTTAACTCTAGAAAACTGACAACACACCACACTCAGTAGACCAGTAGGACAATTCTCAGGTTGCGAAAAGTTCTACTGGCTGGAGCGGGAATCGAACCCTCACTTCGTGGCACTCACAATACGCCTAAAGGACGAATGATACCGCACGACCACGAAGCTTACAAAGATGGATGGAACTCTACTCAGAATATAACTTTAAATTCTCCTTTGGTTTCGCTAAGAATTTACCTCAAACTTCACTGTAAACTATTTTCAACATTACCTTAAAATTCTGAAATTCTAGGGCAATTCAGAATTCTAAATAAATTCAGACTGCTGTAACTCAATATTCACAGGTACTTAAAAAAATGCTAAAAATTATCAGATGCCTTTCAAATTTTCCTTATGAATTATCCTCAAAAATCTCACAAACACACTTCAAAGTCCTGGTGGTTATCTAGATTCAAAAGTCTTGCTAATTTTCCAAGGCTGAATTTATTGTTTTCAATCCTGAACAGTTTTTGCACAGACAAACAGACATAACACTCGCAAGTTGTTCATCGAACAAGCATTTAACGGTCAATTTAAAAGTATCGTAGTTGGTAGTACCGCCATCTGTTCAGCATACTACCCACCACAGTGTACTTAACAGATGGCGTTCATGTTTTAGCGACGATGTTTGACAGTGGGAAATATTCAATGTGTTATGTCTGTTTGTCTGTGGTTTTTGATTTCCCTAAATTAAAAAAAAAAAAAATATGAAAATTCCACCATACTGAAATTTGGATTTTTTTTTTAATATAGAAAATAAATAAAAATTCTAATTAAACAAACATTCAGGGCCACTATTTTTAAAAGTTTGAAGATTTTTTTCAGCGAATAATCTTTAGAAAATGGCTCAATTTTCATGATTCTTCAACCCATTAACATGCAAACATGTTGCAACAATTCCATGTACGATGTTGTAATAATTTCCAACGTTGATGGCCTTTAATAATTAAAGAAGCAGTTTTTATTTTTTGAGTAAATCAATTGCAATGATATTTTTAAAGCAACATATATGAAAAATCTGGGAAAATCTGGAACATATTTTTAAAATCTGGAAATATACGTGATCTGTCTGTGTATCTGGCCGGATGACCGAACATCTGGAAAATCCAGATAAATCTGGAATACTGGCAACGCTGGTTACAGCAGTTTTCGTTGTTTCAGTCTCGAGATACAAATATTATAAGCCGCCAAATTACCTTAAAACATAAAATTAACTTGAAGCACCTCTAAATCATCTCCGATTTTGCTGAAAATTTGCATAGAAGTTCAAATTAACATGACGAACAGTAATCACGGTTGACCCCTAATGTACCCCTAATCTAATCTCGGGTAAGCCGCGAGTATTCGGCCCAACTCCTCCTAGATATTAGAAAAAAGTGATTTTTTTTTTACAAACAATGAACAAAGAATTATCGGCTCCGTAAAGCTAACGCGATTGAGTCTTCCAAATAAACGAACTAGATAAAAAAAGGTATGTTATTCACAATATATGTATTACACCATTTTACCATGGCCATGGCCATACATATGTTCAATGTAACCGACATTTTATATAGCTAGAATATTAGAAAAGTAAAATAATTGCCAAATATTGTATTGATAGAGCCGAGCTTAAGGCATAACACTCCATGGAACGAACGATCCAGGTTCAGCTTCTGCAAACTGAAGAGAAACATAATGATTAACTACATTATTTTTTCGCAGCCGTAGCACACTCTCACCCTGCTGGTAATGCCATCCTGGCAAGCCATCCGAATCCTTGCGGCGGTAGCCGGTGAGACCAAATTGAAATCGTTGTCCAAGTTTTCCTCTTTCCGTGCAGCCGCGATGGCTTCCCGGATGGCAAAGAATATGGAGGATGCCGAAAACAGCGGTGGTTCTCCTACGGCTTTCGATGAATAAACGGCTCTCGGATTCGGTGCTCCCGTCAACAACGAAACATTGAACTCACCGGGGATGTCCCCGAAACTGGGAATCTTGTAGCTGCCCGGACCTCGTGAAATCAGCGTCCCATCCGGAGAGTACACCATTTCTTCTAGCGTATAAAGGCCATAACCTTGCAAAAAGGCGCCCTCAATTTGTCCAATATCGATAGCCGGATTAATACTAGAACCAATGTCCATTACGATGTCCGTGCGAATCACTTGATGATCACCGGTAAGGCAGTCGATTTCTACCTCGGAACATGCAGCTCCGTATACGAAGTAGTTGAATGGCTTCCCGGTTCTCGTTAGACAATCATAGTGTACGCCGGGAGTAGAATAGAACCCTGTAGCGGACAGAGACACTCGATCGAAATACGCCTTGGTGATCCAGAATTTCCAGTCCTTGTCGGGGAATTCCTCTTTGTATGGCTTTAAACGGTCATCGATGATCTGGCAAGCATTCAGTACGGCCATACCGTTGAGATCCGATCCCAGACTTGCCGCCGTAGGAGGGGTGTTCGGAACCTTATCCGTCGACGTTTCGGATATATGGATTAGATCAAACGGTACCTTAAGGACCGTAGCGGCTATCTGAATCATTTTAGTGTGCAAGCCTTGACCCATCTCAACGCCTCCATGGGACAATAATACCGTTCCATCTTGATACACGTGGACGAGGGCACCCGATTGGTTCATGTGAATAGTGTCAAATCCTATCGAATACATTGTGGGAACCAGGCTGATACCACGTTTACGCCAGCGGTTCTGCTCGTTGAATCGCACAACATTGACTCGACGAGCTTTGAAATCGGAAGATTCGGTCACCTCTCTCCAGCATCTGGAATTGGATAATGAGGTTTCATTGAAGAATATGTCTTAACATTAACAGTTTGTCTTACTTTTGAATGTTGCAATTCTCAATCTGCTGTTTGTAATGCGTTATATATCCGCTATTACACATGTTCAATTCAGCCAACTCTACGTAGTCTCGATTCAGAGTTCTGGCTACATGATGCATCATCGTTTCAGTGGCCAACATAGCTTGAGGAGTACCGAAGCCTCGGAATGCGGTGTTCGATGGTAGATTCGTCTTGCAGACCCAACCTTGTACCCGAAGATTCGGTATGTCGTAAGCGTTGGTGATGTGGAACATGGCTCGATCCAAAACCTGAAATTGATTGTTATGGTGGAGAACGTTCATCTTTTAGTAGATACGGTTAGTACTCACCGAAAACGACAAATCCATGGAACAACCGGCATTGTTGTAGGCTTTGAAATCTGCAGCTAGCAATCGTCCGACTTCGTCAACCCCAACTTTATACGTAATATAGAAAGGATGGCGAGTACCAGTTATGGCCATATCCTCATCACGATCCAGCACGCATCGTACAGGTCGACGTAGTTTGTAAGCCGCCAGAGCTACTGGAACAGCCAGCAATAGTGAACGATACTCCTTCCCTCCAAAACCTCCGCCCAATCGCTTCGCACGCGAGAAGACCTTACACGAAGGAATGTTCAAAGCACGTGCCACGAACCCCTGAATCGCACTGGGATGTTGAGTGGCGGTGAACAGTTCGATCTCATCCGAGTCCCTCGGCACAGCTAGGCAAGTGTGCATTTCCATATAGAAGTGTTCCTGCCCTCCCAATCTACAGTCTCCTTCTATAACTCGGTGTGCTTGTTTGAAGCCGTTATCGACGTCACCCTTGGTCATGCACTTCGGATAACCAGGGAAGAAAGATTCTTTTTTGATGGCATCTTCCAGCGTTACGATGATCGGAGACAGTTCTTCGTACACTACCTTGACCTTGCGGGCTGCTCTCTGAGCAATGGTTTGATCGTCGGCTACTACTGCACCAATAATAAGACCTTGGCTAGTGACCAAGTCTTTCCAGAAAACAAATTCATCACAAACTACAGGTCCAAACTGATTCTGATCATCGGCAAGATCTGCTGCGGAAAAGAATCGATGGACTCCTTTCATCTCGAGTGCTTCCGTTGCGTCTATGGAGAGTATCTTAGCGTGAGACTTCGTACTGGTTACCAGGGCAAGATATAATTCATCGCTGTACTTGGGTATATCGTCACAAAAAACCGCCTCGCCAGTAGCTTGCTTGTAAGCCGAAGCGTGGACTTGGGGTCTTCTGATCGGGTCGGTAGTTGCTTGATCTGAGGAGACCTTTTCGAAAAGTTGAGCACTTTTCGGTAGCATGGAGTGGAAGGTTTCGGCGCCGCTTCGCTCCCGATCTTGAACAGGTTCATGACTCACGACAGTGCGTGAGAGCGAATCACTGATGAACAAATAGGCCTTGAAAAACAAGCCGAGCGTCAATGATCTACGGTAGAGGATCATTCCACCTGGGGCACTGGGACTCAGAGGAAGCTCTTGCACTAACAGTTCATTGACCAGTTCGACGAGCTTGCTATCCCACTTCTTGCCGACCATTGCGAGGCTAGTTTTCTTGGCCAATACAGTAGTAGGAGCCATTCCACCAAAGGCCAGATGAGCCTGTTCAACGATGTCAGTTCCCAGTTTGAAGGTTATGTTGAACACTCCATTAACGATGGCGACGTCGTCCTCCCGCCGTTTCGCCTGTTTGTAGGCTATGAAATGCTGATTCTCGATGGTTTTCGGAATGAAAAGCGATACGAGTACTTCGTCCGGACGTATGGCGTTTCTACGATATCCAGTAAAGAAGCCATCTCCCATGCGTACTTTGCGACTACCACCATCGAGGCTAGTAACTTCTAGTCTGAGAAAAGGAAATTTTGGATTTATAGAGGTAAATTTTCATAGTAAATTTAATTCCATTATGCGCATAGCAGTCACATGTCTTGTAAGATTATAGTCTACATGGAACTGTTCTGCGACTAATGGCAGTTTGGTAACTCACTCGACACCCGCAGCAGCGAAGATCGGATTCAAATCCGAAATCGGGCTACTAGTCATGATGTTTCCACCAGCAGACGCCACATTCCTAATTTGCATACCGGCAAACCAGTGCAGCATTTCGACGATGGCTTTGTACAATCTCGTTTCGTGCTCGGGACTTGTGTCGATCTCTTCCTTCAGAATTCGATCAATTTCCGAAAGAGTCACAGACGAGCCTATCTTCAATCCTCCATCACTCTTCTCAACAGAGCATAATTCTTTGATCTGCGCTACGTACGCCAGCACTGGATATTCGGACTGCTTGAACTTCACTTCAACACCGACCTCTGTATTGCCGACGACGATCTTCGTTTCAGGATGACGCTTCTTGAGAGCTAGCAAATGCTCTAGATTGGCAGGTCGGTACCAACTGATATTAGATGATTGAAAGACTAGCGATTCAACGTCTAGTGATCCGGAGAGTTTCAACTCTGGAGGAAATATTGGTTCTTGAGATGGGTCAAATGGCATGAATTCACTGATTTGGAACAGTTTATCGTGAACTTCTATTCCACAGTCATTCGATTTTCCCGCTTGGTTCTTGCAACATTTTTCACCCATAGCGCAAACTCCAAATTCTTTAGTGAATGTCTTATATCCCTCCACAATCGGTCTGTATCCGGTGCAGCGACATAGATTTCCCTGGAAGGCCGCATCCAGCTCCTTCATCGAAGGCACTGGCGAACTTCTTAGCAACGCATACATCGTCATAACCATACCTGGCGTACAGAATCCACACTGTGAACCGTGAGCCTTTGCAATGCGTTCCTGAACTGGGTGGAGACGAGTCCGTGTACTTCCGATTCCTTCCACTGTGGTAACGGCCATTCCATGAACGGCACATACCGGCATGAGACACGCGTTGATCGCCAAGTTATGAACTCGACCGGTGGAGCGATCAATCTTGGATATCATCACAGTGCATGCACCACATCCACCTTCGGCGCATCCCAGCTTGGTTCCACAGAGACGCAGCTTTTCTCGTAGATACATGAGAAGGGTACATCGCGGATCGGGACTAGCTTCAGTAACCTGTATAACAAATAAATTTTACAAAACCAGTTACTATATCTGCCTTGCAAGCTTTGAGTGATGAATTTACGATTCACATCAGGAATAGATATTTAAATTTTATGTTGGGGGAATTCCTATTAGACAAAATTAAGTGGTAGACTTAAAATGCTGTCAACTACGGAGGGGAAATGCTTTGTTATTACCTACAACAAGGAACAAGTTAACGATGACTTTCGATGTTGATGTACATAAGACCAAAAAGTTCTGTTGGAATTGGTTGAAAGAGCCGCAAACAGTTTGAAAAAACGTTTGACCAACGGTGATTTATTACGAATTTACTCATTTCACATAAATAACAAACCAGGTTACTAGGGTAGTGAAGCTAGGGATACATCCAGATTACATCCCCTCTCAATCTGAAAATCCTTTTTTCATTCTCAGGGTCTTGCTTGAATCGATTGTACTCTAGTGCTTTGGTGAAAATATCCGCTAGTTGATCTGCATCCACACCACTTCGATCAACACATTCCAAAACGGGCCACCAGCTTTTCGATGCTGGCATCTTGGGATAACTGCAGAAGGCCACCTTCACTGTTCATTCGATTTTCATTCCTAACAAGTGTCGGGGCTCCCCACAGTCGGACATCTTGAACATCTAAGCCGAATCCTTCTTCACCATCTTGATCCACGCCAGTTTGCGAACTGCCACTAACAGATCGTCAACATACAGGATACAGATTAGTTCGTCATTGTCATCCAGTTTCGTGTATGGCCAGTAATTGTGTTTCGACCTTGTGAAGCCCATCTTCAGAATAGCTTCATTGAAACAATCGTTCCAGCATCTAGATGACTGCTTTGAACCATACAGCGATTTAAGCAACCTGCAAACTTGACCTGGTTTTGCAGACACACCATCTGGGACTTCCAAGAAGATTGTTTCCTTTAGGCAACTGTGGAGAAATGCGGTGCGTACATGCATTTGATGAAAATAGCATCGCCGATACACACCAACTGCTAAAACGATTCTGACTGTTCGCCACAAGACGGGCTTGGTAGCGAATTGGTCTACCGTTTTCGTCTTCCTTCAACTGGAATACCCATTTTTAATTGAGTAGTTTCACACCCTTGAAACAGGTCGTCAACTGCCAAACATGGTTTGTCTTGAGTGACTCCAACTCGCTCGCCACGCTAAGCATCCAATCGTCTCGGCTGTCAATTTGCCTAAGGGTTTCGGGGACACCTGAGGACAATGGAACGCCAGAAGTTGCTCCGTAGCCAAACGAAATAATCCAACAACTTACTGGGTAAAGTGTGCTCCTGTTCGCTGCACCTCACCTGTACGCTAAGGAAGCGCCGATGCTGTCGAATCGTCATCATCGAATTCATCTGGTTAATGGTCAAGCTCGGAAAACTGCACAGCCAATCTCATCTTTTACATCAGAATCCGTTGCATACGGCACATAAGCTTCATCGAACTTTACATCACGGGCCACGATTATTTTTCGATGCGTTCTATCCAAAAGCCAGTAGCCATTTGGTGCATAACCTACCACGACCACCTCGAAACTGTTAGCATCTAGTTTCTTCCGCAATTGGCCAGGTATCCAGGCGAAAAATTCGTAGTTTCCTCAAATTGGGGTTCATGCCAAGCCACAACTCCGCGGGTGTCGACTTGCACGAAAGCGCTGCTGTTGGGCTCCGGTTGAGTAAGTAAGGGAGAACAGCCCATAATGCACCCCTGGGGTAAAATGCCCACTTATAGAAAAACAACGATAACTTTTCCTCAGATGCATTTTCCGGGTAACGGTTTGTGATTGTTTTCAACTGGAGGTTTCACAAATAATTCTTGATTATAAAATCTATATTGACCTACTGATTCCTTTAAAAAATAGCATTTTATGCAAAACAGGACACAGTTGTTAAAATCATCGACTGCAAATTAAGCTTTTAACATCATATATCACAACAAAATTTAACGAATTTACTTTTCGTATATTTTTTAGATATTTTACTTGATGAATCACAGTTTTGCATTCTTTTGAGAATTTGAGACCTTATTTCTGATGTAACATAAAGAAATAATCATTTGAAATACCGCATCCCTTTGCATTATCTACTTGCAGGGGTTATGGTTTGTCAACCATGGGGTGCATTTTACCCCAATGTTGTGGTGCGTTTTGGCCATTGTTGTCGTGCGTCTTGCCTCAATGTTGTGTTGCATATTGCATCATGAATCAGGCGTTTTGCCCCGCTATCATTTTGGAAGAAATTTTTAAAATACCTTGAAAGTCATGGAATATTATCCTTTTGTAGTTCTAAATCACTCGATCTTCGTAGAAAACATGGTAATGAACCAAACGCCATTACTTTCTTCTTGATTTTAGCTTCCATTCACCAGCAATTGACGATTTTGCTTAAACGGTGCGTTTTGCACCATCCTACCCTACACCCCGGTCAACTCTGCTTCAAACCCCATCTGCGTTGGCATTGCAAAATCTAGGAACATTGCACGAATCTTCTCAATCAATGTACGGTTGACTCTAGTATAGCAGTATACGCAACCGTCGTTTCAACCTGAATACCTTTCGGCTTGAACCATTTCTTCTGTTCGTTGGAATCGTACTCTGTACCTTGATCCACCGTGATGGTCAAATGCCGCAGTCACCATCGCTTTATATTCACAGAACCGCTCGAATACTTGCAACTTCGTCTTCAACATATATATCATGGAGAAATGGCTGTAGTCGTCAATGAATGATACGAAATAGCGTGAGCCATCGCAGGGGGATAGATGGGACCACAGACTTGCGAATGTATTCGTTCCAGAATACGAGACGTATGTTGTCGAGTTCCATTGAAGGGTTGCACACATGGCTCGCAAAATCCAATCTTTTCGAGCTTCATAGTGACACCTATCACCATGTTGGGCTGCACCAGTTTCGACATAGACTTCACTGCCATCGTTAGTATCGATGTCTGGAACAACAGGTAGCTTGCTGGTGTTAGAAGCAAAAATGTTGTAAACATTGCTGAGCAAGCGAATGACGATGTCATGGCGGCACAACATTCTTCTTCTTCTTCTTTCATTTATTTACCGTCGGTCTCTGTTCCGCAATCTAGTGCCAATCACCGATGGACATCGATTGACAATGATACCTTTATTTCTTCGTTTATGATTATTGGACTTGACAAGATGATCGCTTGATCCGGAATCTAGCTAGAAAACCAACCGTTCACCGTGCCTTCGATTCTTGTCGACACTTATCGCCTTGCTTCCAGCAGCTACGGTTGCTTCACTGTAACTCTTCTGTCGGCAGTCCTTCTTCATGTGCCCTTTCTTGTCGCACTTATGCCACTTGTCATTAAACTTCGTCGATATTGATCTATCCTTCTCGCCTGCACATGCAGTTGATTTCTCATTCGTACCATCTTGATGTATATCGAGCAGCTTCACTTCTTTTCCCAAAAGCCTTTGTTTCACCACGTCTAGCATCAGGTCATGATCACCAAGGTTCTCCCGAGCAGTTATAAGTGGGTCGTACGATTCTGGAAGGGTCCCGAATAACATGACAACCATGTTCAGCTTCAGTTCAGCACCTACTACCCGCAATTGCCGGATCAGTTCATCAAAATACACCAAATAATTTCACATTGATTAACCTTTTTTAAATCTTCAAACGTCCAAGCTGCTCCCGTACCAGGTTCTGCTTCGCTGGCGATTTCTCGGCAAACGAATTTTCCAGAACTCTCGATATCTGTTTTGATGATGTGATGTGAATGGAGCCCACCATCAGTGCAAGGATTACCAATGTCTGCAGATACTTCACCGGTTGTAAAGTTCTGCCTGCAACAAACAGTAGGGTGAATCTGCTTCATTGAAGACCTTTGTAAGACAAAACGATCAGATGGCCATCTGTAATCGCGTGACAAGGGACTGCAGTCCATGGCAAATCCAGGAAATCTCGTCCAGTCAACAAATCAACTTTCGACATCATAAACTCATTATTATCTCGTAGCGCAACAGATCGAACATTTGTGTGAACGGAGCTTAATTGCTTAAATTCTTATAGCCAATTCGTTTATTATTCAGTTCCAACCTGGATCGGGTATCAGGATTGGGTCTGCTTGTTTTCTGACAAACGTCAGTTTGCTCGTTTGTTTTTAAAACCTAGCTCAGGTTGAGGTTTGCACTGACAAAAAGTTCGGTTTCGCACTGGGTTGGAACTGGTTCCAACCCCGATAATAAACGAATTTGCTATTAGATTGCCAGCGAACCAAAGACCCAAAAATGATGGTGGGTGACGTTTCTGCTATCGGAATCGTTTTTCACGGACAAACTCTAGACAATAATCTCCAGCGCACCCCACACGTGTCAATATATTGACGCGAAGGGGAATTATTAACAATAATATTGATGATGTGAATACAGAATTATTGTCAATACCGATGTATTACCGATACCGATTATTGTCAATAAAAGCAAACGTGTAGGGTCCACTTCCAAGGAAACCAACTCTAGATAGAGCTGGAATTAGGGCGTAACAGCTTTACAAAGGCTGTTACGCCCTAATTCCAGCTCTATCTAGAATTGGTTTCCTGGTTTATTGTGTGGTGCCTAAATACTGCAGCGCATCGCCTCGTAGCTAGATGAAGATGAATGTGTGAGTGATTTCCGTCCAGAGCGACATAGCACTCGACCAGGCATCGTTGGTACCGCCATTGTCTCTGCACAGTGCACAGTCCACTTGCGGCTTCTGAGATGGTGAGACGTGCTTCCGTGTGATTAGCCCTCGGTGATTCCTTGGTGATTATCGAGTATTCACATCAATCAACATAGATTTGACCTTCTTGTCCTCCTCGTCGAACATCACTTTTTCTGCAGCTGCTTCTGGGGGTCTCTTCTGTCAAGTCCACTTCTACTGAGCGTCCAAATACATGCGGACATGGAAAGCTGGACCTCCTTGGAATTAAGGATTTCCGTGAATCGAATGAACAAATGAAAGAGCCGGATACAGTTTGAAAAAGCGTGTGGCTTCAACGGAGGTTTATTACGAATTAACTTATTTCATATAAATAACAAAACAGGTTACTTTGGTGGTGTCGCTAGAGATACATCCAGATTGCTAAACGTACTTACCTTCTTTCCATTGACGAAAAATACCAGCGGTTGGCGATGCTCAAACGCTGCTAGACTATCGTTAGTTTTCTTCTCCAGAGACATTATCAATTCAAATAAGCTATAAAAAATTGCTGATAAACACGTATCTCAACTCAACACCTCATAAATCACGAAAGCGTTCCAGTATGAAATTTAACTCTCTTCTTGGCATCCGAAGGTCGCAACAGTCGCCGCGAAACTGGACGACCGTTGATGCTTGATATGGTGATAGACTGACATCTGAAGCCACTCAGATAGCGATATAGGTATTTATTATTTTTTTTGCTCGTTGTTAGGAATGATACGTGGTCATGTGTTCGTTTTCCGTCCACAGAGTGGAAAAGGAATTCGCGATATTTCTTTATTATTTTGTATACAGTTCGCACTACACTGGAGTCGCTTTTTTACGCGGTTTTTTTTTACACGGTTTTTTTTACGCGGTTTTTTTTTACGCGGATTTCGGAATTTACGCGGTTTTTTTTACGCGGATTCCGGAATTTACGCGGTTTTTTTTTACGCGGATTTTGGTTTTTTTTTACGCGGATTTCAGAATTTACGCAGTATATCGCTTTTTACGCGATTTTTTCTTACACGGTCTTTTTTTACTCGGTTTTTTTTTACGCGGATTTCGGAATTTACGCGGTTTTTTTTACGCGGATTCCGGAATTTACGCGGTTTTTTTTTACGCGGATTTTGGTTTTTTTTTACGCGGATTTCAGAATTTACGCAGTATATCGCTTTTTACGCGATTTTTTCTTACACGGTCTTTTTTTACTCGGTTTTTTTTTACGCGGATTTCGGAATTTACGCGGTTTTTTTTACGCGGATTCCGGAATTTACGCGGTTTTTTTTACGCGGTTTTTTTTTACGCGGGACGTATCACCAGCGTAAAAAGCGACTCCAGTGTATCTTTGATTGTAACTTATTAATTCGAGTCGACAATATAATCCAATTGCACAACGGCAGCATTTATATATATTGTAATTCCGTGCGTGAAGCCAAGTGTGTGTGTGTCATCCTCTATCCCTCACCCAGCCGGGGGCGTTGGACAAGTAGAACTGCGAATAATTTGATCAAATCTCATGTTCCGTAATGGTGCCCTTTATGTTGTGAAGACCAGAGGTGGCAACAGTACATTTTTTGAAAAACCATCGTCCAGAGCGAAACAAAACAGCCAGCACACGGGCGGCCGTTTATAACTACATTCCAAGCGAACAGCGGAGATAGAGAATAAATAAAATCTCGCAGCCTGATTTTTCCAAACAGTTTATTGTAATGAAATTTTAGCTGCAGGCTTGCGTGTGACAGTAAATTACCAACTCCTTTATTTACGCATAATTTTAACATCAATGCTTATGACTGGTTAGTCTTCATTCTTATCTTTTAATTCCATGCAATAAACATCAAATAAATGCAGCAATTAGCCAGAAATCAGCAAAATTCTACACGACATAAATTTATGTCGCGCGTGCCGCCGGTCTTGTCTGCTTCTTTGTGCGAAAATGTTCTGTCGCTGGCAGAAAACAGTATAGAAATGTCATGACATTTTTGCCGCTTGCCAGTTTGTTTTTGTGTGTCGTCAAAATGGTTATCGCAAAAAGTATCAAATGTTAAGGAAAAAATGTTAAACTCCAGGACTCGTGCCACCACTGGTGAAGACTAGTACTTCAAAAAGGGTAACTTTTGAGGCAAGACAGGGTGTCCTCAACAAGTTAAGGGAACAGGATGCACTAGATGTCCACAACAGGTACAGCAAAACATCACATAGACGCCCTTATTCACACTAACTACTCAGGGGGTAGAAGGTCAAGAAGAGCCACCGCCGCCAACTAAAGCTTGAACCGGGTACCTGGGACTCCCACGATATACCCGCGGCAATGGTCAGCAGACGATGTCCTGTGGGTATTTAGTATGTAATATGTTTTATTTGGATACACAAAATGTTTGAAGCCATGCGTCATCTAAACCATAATTTGCATCACCACAAATACACTTGTCAACAATCTTCAACTGGAACGTACTCACCAAATCACTTCACCCGAGAGTGCGTTCCCGATGCTTCCACGCATATTTTTCTCTAGTCATCCATAAACAATTCCTCCTTCAGCGACTCCAACCACACAACAACCAAATATCACTTTTCTTCGCTTTCTTTTTCAAGTCACTCCGTGCACAAGAGCAATGCACATCGCAAAACCCTAACAATAGATCAGCGCCGTGCTCATCACCGCGTAAATAAACAGAAATTGGAGTTAAAGGTTATTGCGTGCCCCTAAAATTCATCAATATTCCGTGCGTGAAGCCAAGTACAGTCAAAAATTTGTAAATACAATGGCGTTTCGGTTTTATCACGATTTCAGAGTCAACATTTCAAACGGGCGTAGATGCTTTTGTAAACAATGGGTTTAGCCGTCGATTTCTCGCAAATAAAAGCTCACTCATGAAAATTAATTACACCAACAGGTAGAGGAATGCTTCCTCTACCAGCTAACAATTACGTCCCTTTGAAATGTTGACACTGATTTGTGTTTTCTTTTCACACTCCGTTTATATCACTCTCGGTTTTATCACGAAACTTGTTTCGGTAGGGGAAATGCATGTAGAGTGTTGGGCCCATACATAAATTTAGCAATCGACTAAATTTTCAATAGCGACCAAAAATATCCATTAGTACCGTCCCAATGACGCGTTCATCTAGATAAAATTGATAAATAGCAGATTTTTAGCGATGGGCCCGATCTTAGATCCATAGGCCAATATTAGAGCCATTTCCCCTATATAATATTTTTCAGAATTGAATAACTAATTCGAAAACATATATTCAGCAATTCCACGTAAAAAAGACTTATCGGAAAACCGATTTCACTCAAACGTTGTGCATTTGTTCTTTATTAAAAAAATATTGTGGTATTTTTTTATTTCGTTATTAGTGTGTCAAAAAATTGTGATTTTCGGTCCACTTTAAAAATTCATAACTTTTTAACTACTGGGGCGATTTTCGATCTTTATTCAGCAAACTAAAGGTATTAGCTGGTGCTAAAAATATTCTAACAATTTCAAATATACTAAAACATGAAGTATTTTTTGTGTGGCTTTCACAGTGTTACCTCTATGGTGTTGATACCAAAGAGACCACCCTTTTTATATTTTTATTGGAAAGCTTTTTCTTTTTTACATAGAGTTGGCTGTATAGTCGAAAATGACAATTTTTTGACCCACCCTAACTCACGAAGGTGCACCCTAATGGCGGAATAAAAAAAATACGGGTACAATATTTTTAATAAGAAACAAATGCACAACGTATAGGTCTTTTTACGTGGAATTGCTGTATTTATATAATTGATTTTTGGACCACATGCATTGTAAAACATCGTTAGCAAATGTTTACGATGGTTGATTGGTATTGGTAAGCGCATTGAAAATTCGGGTTTTGCATAGAATGGGTTTGCGAGCTATTTGTGTATAAGAACTACAAGGTCAGTTTTTCATGATTCTATTTCTAGTCACGCGTGGAATAACATTGGTATACTTCAGGGAAGTGTATTAGAGCTTCATGTAAATTTCAATTATAGATGCTCGAAAAGTCCTAGTGTGCAACCTACGAAAAATCCGATGGGGGCGACACATCTAAATCTCAAGTTTAGATGCTCAACAAATCTCACACTAGCGAGTCAATCTTCGAAAAATCTTCTTTCATTTGTCGCATCTGCTTGCTTCGCGCATCATCTTTTTGCAGGAAATCATTAGAATCGCCATTAATCTTCTTTCTATCTACTAAGCGTGCGCGCAGCTAGCCACAGCAAAACACAATCTTTTCTGCATCGTAGATAGAGTCGTCCTCCTCGGAAAAATCTTCTTTGATTTCTCGCATCTACTTGCATCGTGCATAATCTTTTTGCAGGAAATCTTCAGAATCGTCATAAACCTTATTTTTATCTACTCAGCGTGCGCGCAGCTGACCACACTAAAACAAACCTGGATCGTAGATAGAGTTGCCCCCTATCGATTATGTATATCAATGATACGGAACGCATTTAACGATTTTGCGATATCATTTTTCCGGTGATACAATACAATGGATTGCTAAAAATAAATGGAAGACCTGGTCATTTTTAACAGTCTTAATACCGATCCTGAGAAATGCGTGTTGACGCTGGGACTATACTGTTTTCGATAAGTGAGCTTATTCACGGCATCGACACGCATTTGGCAGATTTGGTATTATAACTGTTAAATGTCCTAGAGATGAACTAGCCTACACACTAAGATTTTTTTACAGGAGTCAGTATTTTTTTACTGGGTTTTTGAATTGCTGAAAAAGTCGGTAAAAATTCAAATGACCGTTATCCGTAAGGAATCAATGAAATCGACCAATTTTATTTTCTATCGTTAAATGGGGTTAACATAACTAAGTATGTACAAGTTCAGAACAAATTTTCTCATTAATAAATTTTCTACAGATTTTTAAACTTTTACCGAACAGTTCCGCAATTCAAAACTCAGTAAAACCGTACTGACTCGATTAGTGTATAAGGCTAAAAATCTCTTTAAGCCAAAAAAAAAAATGTTAAATGTCCTTATCCTTGATGCTGTAGTAAGGATTATGATTGGATTTTCTTTATAGCTGGGAATGCTAAATAATGTTTGCAAGGAAACAAGGGGCCCAAACCTATTTCGAGTAAAAAATCATTCTTCGACATTTGATTTCTACAGATATTCATAGACTACTTTGGTCATAGCCTACTTGTACCCACGCTTGTTTTGACGTCGAATCAGATTTGTGCTGTTTATCAGGCTGGATATAAAAAAAAACATAATATTTCGTTTACAAAGCTTCCGATGTGATTTTTGAAAAGCTGATAAAATTTCCTTTCAGACATTATGGCTATTACTTAGACCTGTTCATTTTAATTGAAATGTTCGGAATGTAACGGGTCAACCGTGATTACTGTTCGTCATGTTAATTTGAACTTTTGTGCAAATTTTCAACAAAATCGGTGTTGATTTAGAGGTGCTTCTAGTTAATTTTATGTTTTCAAGGTAATTTACGGCTTATAATATTTGTATCTCGAGACTGAAACAACGAAAGCTGCTGTAACAACTTTCATAGCAAAGCTTAATATGT